TCCCAGAGACTATATGCTGTGTTAGAATGCAGAAAGACTGAGTGCAGAGCAGATGGGAGACTCCTGCTGTCTTCTACTGAGCCAAATATTAAAGATGCTTTTAAAAATGTAAGGCAATGCAACTTACTGCACGACTTTTAGAAGGGGAGTGGGGAGAGGGGAGTGTTTTCCCCAAATTGTTATTTTTAGTACCGTTTTTAAGTGAATTAATATTTATTTTTTCTGTTGTAATTGCTGATACTATAAAGCTCAATAGTGCAAAGGCATAAGCATAAGCTCTTTTTAAAAAAACCCAAAGGAACCAGACCCAATGCTGTCAAGTCATCACCTCTCGCTCACAGCAACTCTATGCAGTGTTTCCAAGGTTTGGAGACCAGACAGGCTCACCTTCCCTCTCAGAGAAGCTTGTGTGTTTGAACCATTGCAATTAGAGTCCTGTGTTTACCTAACATGGGCACCAGGATCCTTATAAACTGTTATGGTCCTTTAAAAAAGTTAAATGACTGAACTATTGAATTTTATTATATGTAAATTAGGTACCAGTAAAACTGTTGGTAAAAAAAGTGTCAGACTATAAAGTTCCAGAGGATAAGTGATTTATCCTTATCCAGAGGATAAGGATTAGAGGATAACTTAACCTTAGAAGGGACAAGAATGTTCTCATTCAACCATGGGAGGACTCTTTTGAAGCCCCCTCATATAGTTAGCAATTTGGATTTTAAGAATGGTATTAACTTGAGTACCCTCTTCATGGTTGTTATTTAGGACATTTGGGTAGAAATTTGAAACTGATCGCTCACCCCCAAATCTATGAGCACAGTAGTCAAGGCTATTAGCAATCTTTCCACTTTATGGCTATAGGTTTAGAGAAGTTAGTGACTCTCACAAGGTTATAAAGCTGAGTAGATTTAGAATTGTAGTTTGCCAATTCTAGCTTTCAGTCCCATATGTTTCCATTTCATTTTGCTCCCACAATGATATCCTTGATTCTAGAAAGAGTCATCAGTCAGCCTGCACCCTTCTGGTGTAAACCACAGCAGAGTGCCTGTCAACCACTCCCATTTTGTGAAGCATACAGTGTGTTAGACCAGGATAATACCCTCTGAAACAAATAGGAGTTCCTGCATGGTGCACACGTTTAACTGGCTTGGTTGCTGATTGAAAGGTTGGAGGCTGAGATCTATCTGTAAGTGCCTATGAAGAAGAAAAACCTGGTTGATCTTCCCAAACCGACTCTGACACACATGGGGCCATCATGAGTCTGGGTTGACTCGAGGCAGCTGATTCAGAAATAAACAGACAATAAATAACCTAACACACAGCACACCATGAAAACTCACTGCCATGGTGCCGATTCCGACGCATAGTGATCCTATAGGACAGAGTAGAAATGTGCCTGTGGGTTTCTGAGACTGTAGCTCTTTATGGCTAATAGAGAGCCCTTTATGTTCACTGAGCAGGTTGAAAAACAAACAAACAAACAGTTTCAAAAAAGCAGGGAAAAAGCAGTATGCCTGAGGAAAGCACTACTTTTTAGAAACACGGCATGGATGCTGGCAATATGGGAATGAAGGACTGGGTCCATCTATGAAGCCTGGTGAATATTTGCTGGCGATGTTAGGGAACAGAAAAAGGCCATTGTAATGTGCACAGTGACCTAGGAAGCAGTTCTCTATGGAGCAACACATGGTAACGTCTTTTCTGCTTAATTCTGCCATTCGAGTTGTGAAAGACAAGATGCTGGCGTTTGTGGAGAGTGACCCTCAGATATTTATTAGGGAGGAGAATTCGGGAAGGGGAGTGAAGGAGACAAGAATGTGGCATAATCACTTGCCAGCCAGTCTGGTGGGAGTAATATGTAGGTGCTGTAGTATCAACTGTTTCTTGAATGATTTCAGCACCCTATTTCTGCTTGGAATGTTCTTTTGGAAATAGCAAACATTACTGCTCTGCAGTTCATTATGTCTAGCAGATGTTGCTTTATGTTCCTCAACCCAAATGCATGTGGTGTCACGGAACATCCTCAGAGGAACAGGAGAGAAGAAAGCAGCTAGTTGGCTGTGGCCGTGACAGGCAGCATTCAGCAGCTGTGAGAAGAGCCAGACTTGCAACCAGAATCAGCCTGGGCTACACAAGGGGATGGGTCCTAAGAACGAGGAATGTGACATTCACTTTAATTAAACAGTCTTCAGATAAGATTTTGCAGAAAATAGAAATGATGTGGCAGACTGGCTAAGGAGGGTAATTTATTACTGGATGCCTATTCTCCGCAACTTAATATTTCAGAAAAAACTGTGTTCTTGCAACATTTACCTGTGGTTAAAAAAAAAAAAAAGAGGTGGGGGAGAGTAAAACAAACCTCCCCAAAGCCCCACTTTCCACAATTCACTATCTCCAGGTTATCATAACCCTGTTCAGTGTCTGAATCTTATTAAAGTCAAAATATTGTGTCGATTCGTCAGTACCACATTATTAGAGTTTTGCTTTATGCATGTTTTGAAAGCCTGGCTTGATATAGAATAGATGGTATATTTATGTAACAATGCCCTTGCAGTTTTCCACATGTGCTATCTTAATGGAAATTTACTTATGGGAAAATCCTTGCCAAAATAAACACATTCTTTCAGGAGGGAAAGGCTGAATATACTTCTAGTTCAGCTGCACCTCCTTCCTCTGAGCAGATAAACCAAATTCTTTGGCGCTGGCCATTATACTTCCGTCAGTTCACAGTATGCACGCAGTCTCCCATGGGGCTAAGTGTCCCACAGACACAAATAAGGTCGCTTGGCTTGAACTGTCATTCCAGATAAAACCAAAACAAGGGCTACGCATCTAATGTGACAGAGAAAAGCAAACTGTCAGTTGATTTTAGCTATTCTGTTGATCTTCTAATCACAGGAAATAAATATGTATATTATGTATTTATATTTGATTTTGTTTTTTGAAAGAGAAGAATCATTCTCTCATTCACATTTTAAATTTAGAACCAGGAGGGTAAACTCTAATGGGAAACCAGGGGACCCTAGTGGCGTAGTGGGTTAGACATTGGATTATTAATGTCAAGGTCAGTAGTTCAAATCAAGAGCTACTCCCAGGAAGAAAGTTGATTCTGTGTATCTGCTTCCATAAAGAAACCCTGGGAACAGTTCTGCTTTGCCCTGTAGGATCATTGTGGCACCATGGCAGTGGGCTTGGGTTGGGTTTGGGAAGAGAGAAAAGGGAAGGAGGGTGGGATGCAGATGCAGACATGAACTCTGTCGGACTGGGGCCAGGGAGGGCAGAGAACCCAAACCAAAAGTACTGCCATCGAGTTGGTTCAGGAAGAAACCCTGAATTAAGTGATGGAAGAGCAAGCAATGGGCAAAAGAAACTTGAGGAAAGAGATCCACACAAACATGTCCGCACATCCTCCTTTGGTCCCTCATCCTCACACTTGCCCATCATGAACCCAGGTTTGCCACTGCGGAGAGATTGAATTGTTTGTTCACTTTTGCAACCAGACTGCATGAAGTGGGAAGTCAAGGCAGAAAGAATCATTTTTACTGGACGAACACTGGCCTTTTGGTACATTACAGTGAAATACTCGGCTATATTGCATTTGTTTGTTGCAATAGCCAATGGGATTATTTTACTTTTTCTAACAAAGCAGTTGGAATGAAAAGTTATGGGTAAAGTGATTGTCTTCCATATAGAGTCCCACAATCCAGCTACTCTAAATCAGTTATGGGAAAGACCAGTTTAAACATGGAAATGTTCACGCTCTACTAAAACGCATTTGTTTTACTTTAAACACATGCAGTCTGTAAAACCAAGTTAGCAAAGCAGTATTTCCCAGACGTTTTTCTTCTAGGAATATCCCGTGTATTCTTGAGTATAAGCCGACATGACTACCAGCCCAGGCACCTAATTTTACCACAAAAACTGCATAAAAAATGAGCCGAAAAACTTGGCTTATACATGAGTATGTACAACATATATATATAAAGAACTAACCTGAAATTATATCTAGATTACTAATTATTGTCCCTCTTTGTTGCATTTTTAAAAATGTTTGAATGTAGAAGACTCCAATGTCGGATTCCTGTTCCATAATTTCATAATTACCCATTTTTTTCTCTTTGTGAAAAAATAACACATTTAAGCTTTCTGTTATGCTGAATTTTCATTATGTTTTTTACTTCCAATTTAGAAGTTTGTGGATTGTGCTAAAAATGTTCTATTTGAAGTTATAAAAACATCATCGATTTGATTTTTTTTCCCTCACTGACAAAATCAAGTTAATTCTTAAGTGGTAACTCACAATTGGCTTGAATGAGATTTTATCATGTTTAAAATGAATATATTAAAATATTAGTACACTTATAAGTAAAGATGAAAAGTTGTTCTCTGTGTGGACAGTGACAACAAACTTAATAACGTGCCCTCCTGTGTGTAATTCACGTCCAAAATTAAAAAGTAAATTAAAATCATGCTTCCTTCTTTGGTTACAGAGACTTGAGTTTTGCAGATAAATATAAATGCTAAGTATTGTATGTGGCATGGAATTTAACCACAAAATAAGTAATAGCCTGTAATCAAGATCTATCCTGCTGCTTCCTAAGAACAAAGTTTCACATTTAAAAGTCTTAAAATAATTTTCCTGGACTGTAAATAGGAAAATAATTGATCATATTGGTGATCGTTCTTTACCATACTTCACTGCCATTTTGCAGAGGTCAATTGGCTTGAACTATTTTTCTGTCCTTTATTTTAGTGACTGGCCATCTGCTTTACTAAGTAGGACTCACCAAAGTTTTATTTTCTGGAAAAGCAGAATGAAACTTTAGCTTAGAGCATGTTATAAAAATCAATAGCCCCTCAAATAGAGTTTCAAAGTACTTATTTCTCTCGCTTTGATAAAGCGAACTTACAGAGTTTTCTGACCTCGTGCTGTGATATTTTAAAAATGGTACTACTTCTTGCTGTACTAAAACAGACTATCTTCTCTTTTGAATTTATAGTCGCAGATATGGCCAATACACCATGAACAAGGAAAACACCACCAAAGTATCGGAGAAGTCAACATTTAACCGATCGAACTCACAAGATTCTTTGGATGAAGTATCTATGGAAGACTATTGGACAGAACTTAAAAGTATCAAGGACAATAGACAAAAAGATCAAGCAGTGGTGGTTGTCAAAGAGCCTGATGGTAAAAGCTAAATAATACACACACACCCCAAATATATAAGTGGGAAAGAATGCATGGAAAAGAAGAGGACACGGATTGGGGGGTGGGGGATTGAAACTTGGATAACCTGAAAGACAATGTTAGTTACCTGTCACCTTGGAAATTACTTGTTTTTGACAGAGTTGAGATTATAGCTGGCCAAACAAAGGTGACAAGAGTAATTCACTTGGGCCTAGATGTGTATAGACTCTTGCTGGTGAAAAGGTATTCGACCCTAGAGGCTCTTTGGGCTAGACTTGATTGTTCAGATCATTTATTCTCCCCTTAAATTCCTTCTGTGAAATCCTAGCCTTGTGTTCATTTGGCACCTCCATGAGTATACCTAGGAATGGGAAGCTCAATACTTCTCAGTAATGCCATTTTGCAGTGGTCAATGGCTTGAACTATTTTTCTGTTCTTTATTTTAGTGACTGGCCATCTGCTTTACTAAGTAGGACTCACCATAGTTTTATTTTCTGGAAGAGCAGAATAAGGCTATTCAACTTTAAATATTTGAAAATGGTTATCTTTTTTCCTAGCCAAGTTCTTTTAGAAGGAAATACACACTCCTTCACACACCAATATTTGTGGGGGTGTTGTCAGAGATATCTGTCTTGGTCCTTTTATCTTTGCAAGCTGGATTCTTCCTGATTGGGTGAGAGGCCGCAGGGTAAATGGACTAGCCTAAGATGATCAGGTTGGACGATGTAAAACGGTACTCAATTTTTTAGCCTCTCTATTTGCTTCTTTCTCTCTTTTGCCCATAATTTCGCCAAAGCCACTTTCCATCCAGAGTCCACTACAATCTCCACCATTATGCTTGCCATTTTGGAAGAAAAACCAAGCCCTTTACATTTCTCAAATTTCATGCATTGTTTTCTTACCACTTACATCCCGAGGTCACCAAGTCTTACACACCCAATTTTATCATCGATTCTCTGAGTTCTCTTTCTATGCGTTATGGCATCCATAGCACTTAAACTTTGTTTATAATTTATATAAACGCTAACTAGATAAGAGGTACTGTTAAAACCAGCCACGGAGTTTTATCTCTCAATGCAATGCCTAGTAACTAAATGTTTGGGGTCTGTTGTTTAAGCAGCTAACTCTGTGTACATACATTTTTCTCCCTTGCTAAAATATTGCATTGAAACCTACCAATGGTACTTTAAAAGGAATAATTGGGAATATCCTTTAATGTTTCTTACGTGTGTGTATAATCATCTTACTCTTTAGTTTCTCTTTATTTCTCAGGTACATTCTTTGTAAAGGTGAGTTTATCATAATTATTAGTAGCTCTCACACTTGATGTCTGTTTTTGGAGAAGCATACAAATGATCTGCTGAATAAGGAGAGAAGGTGTTGGGAAAAACAACACTCAAGCCTGATTTAGATTACATGATGGTTTGTCATCAACTGTTTCATAATTCTTCGAGGTTAAGATAAGTACATATATTACTGCTAAATGAGGTGACCTTCCGAGAGCCTGTGATTTTCCACGGCTCGGCCCCTTCTTTAGCTCTGCGCTGTTTGAGTCTTGCTTTTTTGATGTAACAGGTGACTCTTCTAGTAATCTTGTTTGTTGCCCTTGGCCTGGCAATGCCGTTTTTTTCTGGCTACTTGGTTTTATGCACCTGTATTGAATTCTATCCTCACAGCATTAGTAATGACTTACTTTTCATTTCAATAAACCAGTTCTTGTTGCCTGGCATGCAGTTTTGAAACCAATGGTATGAATAATTGAGTTTTTGCCCTCAAGCAGTTGATAGTATAGCAGGATAGACAGGCAAACCAACAGCGTTATACCAAGTGTTACAAGCCTGACAGCACTGTGCAAAGCTCTTCCCATCTCCCATTCTCCCTCTTGGTTTCAAGGTGGCCAGAGCACTGTGTTTGAGTTGACAGGTGAGGAAATAGAGCTTGCTTGAGGCTAAATGACTGGTGCCAAGCTACTGTGGCCATGAAGGTGCAGCGAGGAGTTATAAATCCCCGTCATTTGTGCGCTAAGTCTTTGCACTTTCTCTTATCTCTCTCACTTAAAAACATAGTTCTTGGAGTCAATCAATTCTAGCTCTCTTTCTCTTTGGTGCTAATTTGACCCTACATTGTATTTGTTTTACTATTATCTTTAGTATTTTGAATTGATTCTGGTATCGAATTAGTTTCCTATAAGCTCTTTTCTGAAAAACCGTCTCTTATGTTTTTCCTTAATTTGTTAAAATAATATAAATCTGATGTGCTGAGTGGGAGGATTAAAAAATTAATTTGGAATTGATTCGTTTCTCGTGCCCAGATGCGCTTTATGTCTTCCCACACTCCGTGTCAGCTACAGTGAACAGAAAATGAGCATCTCCGTAAATTAGGGTTGGACTCTGGGGTATTAAGACTGGCTGAATGTAAGTGAAGAAACTGGGCTTTTAATGCATGTCTTCAGCATTAACTTCCATCTGTAACTCAATGCAAGCAAGTTATTGTATTGTTTGCTCCTCTCTGGCAAGGCAATGATATGTTCTTCCTAGTTCATTTGCATGGACGTGATAGAGGTTAATTATATGTGAAGCCACTTACATTTTTTAATTGCGTATATATGAAATGGATCTAAAATTTGATATCTTTGTGGCTGGAGCGGATGGCAGTTGGCCGAGCTTCAGATAATGATCATTAGCACTGTGGTTTGGTTGAGAGAGAAGCATTTTGACAGCTTACACGATGTGAAAGTCCTCATATTGTTCAAATGCAAACACGTTTTTTTCCTGTGCTGTCTTAGAGGGAGAACTGGAGGAAGAATGGCTGAAAGAGGCCGGTTTGTCCAATCTCTTTGGAGAGTCCTCTGGCGATTCTCAAGAAAGCATGGTGTTTTTATCTACATTGACTCGGACCCAGGCCGCAGCTGTTCAGAAACGAGTAGAGATGGTCTCTCAGACTCTGAGAAAGAAAAACAAACCGCACCAGATCCCGGACGTCAGAGACATATTTGCTCAACAGACAGAGTCAAAGGAAAAAGTGGGTTTTTAAATTTTTGTTTCATTATGTTAAGGCAAAGAAATCCATCATTGCTTGGAATCACCTGGCCCAAACCAGTGTAGTTCAAACCATTATAAACTTCATAAGCACCTATTATATTCAAGCACAAGAGCACCCAGCTGCCAATTCCCTGCTCATTTAGAGGCTAATCTGTTGGGGCAAGCTCATCTGATACACTTCTTTGGGCTTGATGTGGTTTTCAACACTTCCTGTTCTTGTTGATTCCATAGTGGTGTTCATTTCTGATGTATTTTGTCATTGTGGCTTGCCCTCTTGAATTGTTGTTATGTGGTTTTCAATGTATGAAATCCAGGATTTATGAACCCATGGAGACAACAAGTAGAATAAGGATTCCTCGGGAGTAGGGGATACAGTGGGGCGGGGGAGGAGGTAAAAGAGAGCTGATATCAAGGAGTCAAGAAGGAAGAAACTGATTTTGAAACTGATTGTAGTAGCAATTGAACAAGACTACTTGATGTGATTGAACTAGGGAATGGTATACTAACTGTCAGAGCTCCCAATAAAATGGTTTTGGAAAGAATATTAAGCAAGAGTAGAATGCAGTGTAAGACTCCTCATATTAGGGAAAGATAGTACCTTTGGTGCATTAGAGGTGGGCCTAACCCCATGAGGATAATAGAGGAGACTGCACACACCACATGGTTACCAATTAGTAAGTGTGGAAAAGTAGGTTGTAGGTGATTGTTACCTTTAGTGTTTCATGGGCTCTTTTCAGAACGATGACATGTCGAGAGTGAGGGAGCTAATTGAAGCTGAATGATGAGGGAACCCTGCGATATGAAGAACTTCCCTTCCCAGCACTAAGCATGCTGCATCGCACACAGAAGATGTCAGTACATATTTGTGAAATGATTCCTTGATCATTGGAAGCTAGTGGAATCTGAAAGGAGCCCTGGTGGCATAGCGCTTACTCATTGGGCTGCTAAGTCAGCAGGTCCTGAATCACCAGCTGCTCTGAGGGACAAAGATAAAGGCTTTCTACTCCAGTTACCATCTTGGAAGCCCACAGGAGTAGTTCTGCCCTGCCCTGTAGGGTCTCCATGAGGCAGAATCCACTCAATGGCTGTGAGTTTGGTCTTAGTGGAGTCTGATAGACACTGTGGGATTTAGGAATGAAGAGATTCCAGAGAAGGTATGGTAGAGGGAGAAGGTTTGTAGGACCCTGAACACTGCCAATCAAAACAGTCACTTGGTGAGCTATCTGTTACTTGTCTGGGGGGAGATATGGATCAATTATAATATATGAATTCATATTTTTGCTATATCAAAAAAGACTTGATACTCATCATTCATCTCCAAAAGCCATGGGGAAGAAGTCACCTAGAACATAAATAGCGTGCTTAAGATCTAAGTTGATTTACTTTGTCACCTATACACAGATCACAACTGGAGTAGCTCTCGGTAGAAAAGCCTATGGGAAGGGTTGAGATGCCTCCCATCCCCCCAAAAAGAGAACCTTGGGTGATGATTGCAATGACCCCATGACAGTAAGAATTGGTGCAATCAGCATTGAACACTTACTGTGCTAATTACTTTGAATGGCTTCTCTCCTTTAATTCTTGCTACCACCCTGTGAAGGTGGTATTGCTTTCCTTCTATAGCTGAGGTTCATAGACTCAGTAACTTGCTCAATGTCCCATCGATAGTAAAACCCAATCTTTTTGTCAATGCAGTACATGCTTTAAACCGTTTTCCACCATGCTCTATTTGGATATTCAGACATGCTTTTGATATGAAGCCATCTGATTGACATGAGCTTCCTTTCATATTAGAAACATGGAGCCATAAACATTTGTGATTCCTTATTAAACATGGAGGAGCAAAAGGGTTTTTATATATCTTTAAAAAATGTTTAATGGTATTTTGTTTTTCAGAATAATTCTTTCTAGCTGCAGATTGCTCCTCTGTTCGCGTGGTCAGTGATGGCTCAGGCCTGGTCATTTATGGGAGCGGTGGGGATCTCTAGACTTCCAGAGACAGGTCTCTTGCAGCTGTGAGACAGTTATGGAGTTGCCCACCATCTGGAGGATGGTTGGGGCATTCACTGAAGTTGAAGGACTGGACTTGGTTTCCAGCTATAGAAAAAAATTAATGGTGGGGAAGTACAGTATTATGACATTTCCTTCCCAATTACAAAACCCTCCCAAGGGGAGTTAAAAGGAAATAAAACTGGGGCAGGGGTAGAGAGCTGAGTGTAAGCAAAATATATCTTGTGGGATTTCTGCCAGTCTCCAAAGGATGTTGCTGCTCAGTGCCAGAAGCAGCATTTTCCAGCAAATTCTTGGTAATATTTCAACCACATGTTTTGAGTCCAAGGTAATTGGTAGATTGTATCATCTGGAGTCATTAAGAGTGAAATAGTGTGAGTGAATTAAGCTAATGTTAACTTGCTTACACTGCACCCATTAGAAATTTGCTTCACAACCCCTATCTCTCAAACAAACTTGGGCCAGCCATCTTCATGGGCAGTTCTTCTGTTCTCAGAGTAAGGATCTATTCAACTCTTCCATTTTACATGCCTAGTATCCCTTGCTGACACTGGGAAATAGCCCACAGAAATGAATACCATCTGCACTGTCATCTTCAATTGCTGACAAAAACAATCGTAACCACATGCTCCAAAATATGTTTTCATATGTAAGACTAGAATCACTCACTGTGCCCCTTGTCTCAAGGCGGGTGAGTGCTCGGCAGGCCTGTGGGCCAAGGGAAGGAAGATGGTATAGTTGTGCCCTGAGGTGGGAGAAAGACCCGGCTTTCTACTCCAGTAAAGAGTTGCAGTCTCAGAAATTCCCAGGCATAGCTCTGCCTCTCCTGTAAGGTCGCTATGAGTCAGTGGTCACTCAATGGCAGTGAGCTTGAGTTTTGGTTTGTCTTGGTTTGGGAGGTGCTTAAAGTGGTGCAGGGCATCCTTATTCCACATCTGTGATCTGGCAATCTCTGAGCCATGGTGGCGCTGTGGGGTAGGCATTGGGCTGCTCACCAAAAGGTTGGTGGTTCAAACCCACTATTTGCTCTGAGAAAGAAAGAGGTGGCTAACTGTTCCAGTAAAGATGTACTATCTTGGAAAGCCTAAGGAATAGCTCTCGTCTGCCCTGAAGGGTCACTATGAGTCCGAATCAACTTGATGGCAGTGGCTTTGGTGTTTGGGGTGTTGTTTGATTTGGGTGCACCGTTCTGGGCACTGCTAGTCTCTAAGCTGTATGCAGTGGCCCTTACACACCTGCCTGAGTGCTTTTTAAGATGCTTCTTAGACCTGAAGTGGAGCAGGAGGCTTGGCTAGCGGTTTGAGGTAAAATGACAACAAAGGCTAGTTTCTTTAGTGTAAGGATGAAAATCCAATCAAGTGATTATTTTAAGAATCATTCAAATAGACCACATCATATAATTCATCCAGACTCCTTTCTGATCCCTAGGTTCCCCCTGAAGCCCTAGTAACTAGGCGTAAAGATCACGTGTGGCTGCCTGACCATTGCTAAAATAGTGATGGCTGCCTCCATCAGCACCTTCTCTAACCTCGTGGTCTCGCCAGATTACCAACACTAACCTGACCTCACACCTGTGTGGACACGTTGTTTCCCATCATAGCTTCTCCTTTGGGTCCGTGAGGTTCTGTAATCTCCATGCTAACCACCTTCCGTCCACCTGGCACACTGGCAAGGACACAGCATTGGGCCTTTCAACCACTAGAACAAATTTTTTTTAATTGACCATTGCAGAATTGTGGAGTGTTTTTACATTGATCTTTTGCTAATGCAGTTAGCACTGTTTTGCCTGTATGACTTAACAAATCCTTGAATCATAAAAAAAAAAAATATGTGTGCCACGGCAACTGGCTTCTTCCACCCAGCATAGTGTTTTCAGTGACCACCCATGTTGTGGTGTATATCCGTACTTAATTTCTTTCTATTGCCAAATAGTAAACCCACCAATAACTCATTGTCTGTATCTATCATATTTTGCTGATTTGTTCATCAGTGGGTGTTACTGGTTTGGGGTGTCATTGATGTCAGGGACCCTGGATGCTTTTCATATTCTCCACAGAGCATCGCATTATGTCTTATCTGTCATAGGTCATCACACACATGTCAGTACTTCCTCCCCATGCGGTGAGTCCTGTAATTCTGAGTGTATATCTTGCATGCTAAAGGTTGGTAACAGGATAGTTTATAATACCATTTCTTCTGGTTCTAAGTTTATGACTAAATGGCCCATTTTCTATCTTTAGGCTCCAGATGGCACGGAATTTCAGTCAGTCAGAACAAATGAAAACAAACACCAAGGAAAAGATGGTATGTTGGACCGATTCTCTTGTATTTTCCCATTTATTACAATAACAAACAGATACAACCTTTAAAAGTACTCATCCTCAATTCTAGTAAACAAATTATATTAAAATGCGAAGGTGAATGACGTGGATCATTACATGGTGCTGATTGTACAGTGGGCCCTCGATTTTTAACGTGTGGAGGTCTCTAACGTTGTGGCATCCATATACATATTCATATCTTCTGTGGGTGTTTTCCCTGTGCCAGATACTATGCAGAGCGGCTTACCTGATTTGATAAACTCAAGAGCTCAGCATGGCGGGACTTTGTGTTCAATATCTAATTTTGCTGTAACAGAAATACCACAAGTAGATGACTTCAACAAACAGAAATCTGTATTCTCAGAGTTTATGAGGCTAGCAGTCCAAATTTAGAGTGCAGAACTTTAGGGCCCTGGGAGGAGGCGCCCTTATCATCCCTCCTTCCCCATCTCTGCTCTGGCTGTCTGCTTGTTTGATCTCTTTGCTGCCTCAGAACAGATGGACTCCAAATACAGGCCACACAAATCGGCCACATTAATGTAACAAAGACAGCCATGGCTGATCATCTCGGGCACGGAGGTTAGGATTTACAGCATCTTTTCCTAAGGACACAATTCAATCCATAAAGTACTTGCTGTTCTTAAACCATTTTATGGATGAGAGAACTGAGGCTCAGAGACATGAAACCACTTTCTCCCGGCCACCCTTCTAGTAGGCAGGGCCTGAGTTTCAGTTTGAACACTCTACACCATAATCTCTAGCTAGGAGGAATTGATCTTTCATTATTTCATGTTTATTACTAGCATCTTTTTCCTTAATTTTAAAGAAGTTATGCATTTTATCTACATGTCAGTCTGTAACTTTCTTTTATAACAAATGTCATTATTCAAGTGTACATTTCAATGGATTTGAGAACATTGTTCTCAAACTCAATTCATGAAAGGATTGCTTTTCAGAGGTTTCTTGCATAATTGATTGCAATTCGCCTTTTATTTATGCTTGTCTATATTTGTGGTTTCAGAAATGAATTTGAAATTCAAAGCACAGATGAAAATAAATATGAAGATTTTATTAGTATTTTATCAGAAATAATTTATATAGATGTTTTCATTTGTCTATTGAAAGGAAAAACATACTAAATTAAAATTTTAAAGTTAATCTTTAATGTAATATTATTATTTTTTAATTGTGACTAAGGTAGTCTGTGCCTGCTAGATTCCAGTTCAGGGACTTCATCATTTTTTCTTGATGAGATTTGGGAGATCTGGCGATTGGAGGAGCCATTGCTATCAGTAATATTGTGTTTGGATTGGGATTTGTGCGAAAAGGAAACTTGGGTAAACTGTGGAGGACAGAGAGGTGTTCCCAACCTTCCTGTCAAATCGTGTGTTAGTCTAAGATTGCATGGCTCACACTAGACTCTTTGGGTATTCAGTATCGCTGTTTTTCCTTTTGTATTTTTCTTAGACCTTCTGTCCCACATCTCTGGCTTTCAAGTAAACATATCTATATCTATGTCTGTTGTTAGCTGCTGTTGAACCATCCTGGACTCATTACGTCCTGGACTTGTTACAGTGGAAATGCTGCTTGGTATCCTGCACCATCCCATCGGTGATATGGCAAACCATTATGATCCCTAGGATTTTCATTGGCTGATTTTTCAGTAGGAGATTGCCAGGCCTTTTCCCTAGTCTGTCGTAGTCTAGAAGCTCCACTGAAGCCTGTTCAGCGTTAGAGCAGCACAACAGGTGGATGGTGACTTTTCACATGGTACCACTGGCCAGGACTAGACCAGGTCTTCTGCCTGGAAGGCAAAAACTCTCCCACAGAACCACCATGGCCTCCCATGTAGCTTTGTATAATAAATATTGTATATACTCGAGTATAAGCCAACCCGAATATTAGCCGAGGCACCTAATTTTACCACAAAAACTGCATTAAAAATGTGCCGAAAAACTCACCTTAAATACAAGTATATATGGCAGGCATGTAAATATGTGTGCATTTGGACATACACACATTGGTAGTTGCTGTTGGGTGCCTTCCAGTATATTCTGACTCACAGTGACCTTGTAAGACAGGATAGTCCTGCCACATAGGGTTTACAAGACTATAGTCTTTAGGGAAGCAGATTGCCAGAATTCTCCTATGTAACAGCTGGTGGATTTGAAGCCCCAACTTTGTTTAGCAGCTACGCTGTAAACCACTAAGCTACTTGGACTCCTTCATAGACACATGGGCATGCCTCTATATTTATATCACTATAAGCCCTTGCTGCTTACTATTATTCTATAGAAGTTTCTTTCGCTGTACGTTTTCAATCTGGATGAAATTATTGGTGATTTCCCCTAGATTTAAAAATGAGCAACCATTTATGTGGTGAGTAAACTAGATGAGCCAGCACCAGCCTGCTAGTGAGCTGGGTCATGAGGGGAGATGAATCTCCGTGCCAATGTCAATATGCTACTCTACCAGCTTTGAGGGAAGAGTGGCAATTACTAAATAGATCTTGAAGAAAACATGTCCATCCTTGGTGGTTTCCTTTGGGGCCAGAGATGACCAATGCAGGCCAGGTAAACAAACAGAAGTTCTGGAGGGCAAGTTCATGATGTGTGTGCTTTCCAGCATCGCTTGTAGCAAGCGAGTGAAATGTGACAAACTGCCACCTGATTTACATCTGCTTTTGCTGGAATGTTGTGAAGTGGGCACAGAGCCTTAAATCACTATAACAAGAGTGTCTATGTAAAACCAGCCAACTCACAGAGTATTTACTGCTGCACCTGTCTGGGCAGTGCCATGGTCTCCTGCCAGCCAGTGAATTAACCAGTGCTATGCAAACATGGGAAGGTGCAGAATAAAGGGCAGGGAAAACAGGGCCTGGAGTTCCAAACTGAGAGGCCTTCTGCTTAGACTCTAAAGGCCTGGGTAACATGGTCTATTTTCAGTCATTTTTCCCATATGCATTTTTCTCCAAATCTAATTAAAAATACTTTTTCGAAATGAAAAATATCTATGTATCCTCACATGTCAAAGCAAGCCAGTATTAAATACCAATTTTAACTTTTTATCACACTGTACAGGTGCAGTGTTTATACACTTAATAATAATAATGCTCAAATAAACTTTGTTTTAAATTCAAAACTTTTTTTGTGGATTGGGTGAAGAGTTACAGAGCAGATAACCAGTTTTACAGTCAGCAATTGGTTCCCATTCAATTTTATCTGATTCCTTGCAATTTCCTCCATTTTTTCCTTCTGTATTAATCCTTTTGCACTTTGTCCATCAGTAAATGCTCATCTGGTCAGTTGTTCTAAGGTGTGTACAGCTCATTAGTGTTATTGCTCCTTTACGGTTTTATGGGCCTCCCCGTTGTCTGACAGATTTTAGGGCCAAAGTATTGAACAATGCAGGAAGCATCAAAAGAAGGAATACATATAGTTATAGAACCAAAAAGAATTTGTTGACATTCACCCATCTCGGGAGTTAGCATAGAATGAAGGAACTGATGGTATGGAAGGAAGAAGTCCAAGCTGTATTGAAGGCATTAGAGAAAAAGCAAGGGTCCATGAATTGATCGAGTATCGATTGCAATGTTTCAGTAAACACTGAAAGCACTCACTCATCTATGCCAAAACTTGGGAAGATAATTGTCAGCCCAACCAACTAGAAGAGATTCATGTTTGTGCCCATTCTAAAGAAAAGTGAGCTAAGAAAATTCAAAAAGTATCAAACAATATTATTAATATCATACACAAAGAAAAATTGGCTGAAGATAATTCCAACACTGTGGGTGTAGTAAATGGACAAGGAACTTCCAGCAGTTCAAGCTGTGGTCACTAGAGACTGTGGAACTTGGAATATCATTGGTGATGTCAGGTGGATGTTGGCAGCAAGTGAAGAATATGAGAAAATGTTTGCTTATGTTGTACTGAATATGCAAAGGTATTTGATTACCATATATACTCATGTATAAGCCAACCCAAATATCAGCCGCGGCACCTAATTTTAGCACAAAAACTGCATAAGAAATGTGCTGAAAAACTCAGCTCATACATGAGTATATATGGTATGTGGATAAGAAATTAGGAATAACATTGCAGAGAATGTAAATTTCAGAGCATCTCATTGTGCTTTTGTGAAGACCAAGTGTCATTCCAAACAGAACAAAGGAATATTGAGTTGTGTAAAATCAGGAAAGATGTGGATCAAGGTTTTATCCTTCCTCCATATTTATTCAATCTGTATGCTGAGCAAATCATCCATGGAATCGGACAGGTGCGGGATACGGCATCAGGGGTGAAGGAAGACCTTACCAACCTGTGATGTGCAGATAATACCACTCTGTTTGCTGAAGGCGAAGAGAACTCGAAGCACGTATTGATGAAGACCAAATATCCTAGCTTTCAGTACGGATTACACCGCAAATTAAAACAAAATTCTTCCCAACTGGACCAAGAGGCAACCTCATAATAAATAAAGGGGTGACCTTGTCAAGGCTTTCATTTCACTTAGAGCCGCAACGACACTTACGGAAGCAGCAGTCAAATGAAAAGACACCGAGCATTGGGGATATCGGCTGCAAAAGTCCTTTTTAGCATGTTAAAAAGCAAAGATGTTTGAGGACGCAGGTGTGCACCTAACCCAAATCATACATTCTTATGAAAGTTGATACGCTTCTAAAGCAAAACCAGAGAAATATGCTTAGAAGAAGTGCCATCAGCATGCTGTTCGTAGAGTATTTTGTTCATTTATCAGGAGCGAGGACTTCCTGGGGAAGGCCATCATGCTCTGTCAAGTAGATGGTCAGTGGGGAAGAGGCAGGCCTTCACCACGGTAGGCGGACCCAGTGGCTGTCACAGTGGGCTTGCCATAGGGTCAGCGTACATTAAAGTAGAGGCCCTGGTGGGGTAGTGGTTACACATTGGGTTACTAACCACAAGGTTGCTATTGGAAACCACTAGCCATACCATAAGGGAAAGACAAGACTCCTGTAAAGAGTTTCCATCGTAGAAACCCATAAGGTCAGTTCTACCCTGCTTTATTGGGTCTTTATGAGTCGAAACAACTCGGTGACAATGAGGCGGTTTTTTGTTTTGAGTTATGAGTTAAAACCTAATTACTGAGATTTAACAACAGCATTGTTCCTGTGTAGCTGCTGCGGTGAGTTAGCCCCAACTCTTGGCAACCCCTGCCGAATGGGACCTGCTGTGATTCATGGCATTTTCATTGACTAACTTTGGGAATTAGATCACCAAACCTTTCTTTCTAGTCTCTTTTAATCTGAAAGCTCTGCTCAAATTGGATCAACATTATAGAAATCTGTGCACTCTTTGCTGACAGATAGGGAATAATACTGTGTTTGATGTGTGTTGGTTGAGAACAAACCTGGAACATAAAAGATCTGAAAATTTAGCCTTAAATTTAGAATTGACTTAGGTTAGTGTTATTTGTTTTCGTAGCTTTGAAATGCCACCTAGAGCAGCTACAGAACTTGCAGGGTCCAGTGCAAATTGAAATTACAGGGCTACTTGCTCTCATTCAAAACAGTGGCACCCGAGCGTGAACCCACCTGTAGAGGCCTAGGAGACTGCACAGGTGGCATGCCCAGGAAGTACAGGTGTCTCGGTACCACACCAGACTGTTGAATGGGAGTGAACATTTACAGTTGCTTCTTAATATTTATTTCATTAAACGGATGTTTTAGTTTTTTTCACCTAGATGAGTCTAAGGTAAGGTGACCAGATTTTAGCATTGGTAAAGCGGGACACCATTGATAAAACTTATATCCTGGTGAAAAAGCCACATGGCAGCCGAAAATTGTATACCCCAGCTTGTTGTGCCTTCTTTCCAAAAATTGGGACTTTTTAAAAATGCCACAGGCCGCGGGAAAAATTGTTAAAAATCAGGACTGTCCGGCCCAAAGTGGGACGTCTGGTCACCTTAGTCTAAGGATGATATATTTCTGAGGCAATAGTGTTTGAAATCCTGCCCCTCCCCGTCTTGTTACTTTGTTGCGGTTGTTGATAGCTCCAGTCAGTCCCCAGAATGAAACATTGCCGGGCCCTGCACCATTCTCACAATTGTCCTTAGATTTGTTGGATTGTTGCAGCCACTGTGTCCGCCCATCTCATCGGGGAGCTTCCTCTTTTTCACCGCCCCTCTACTTTACGGAGCGTGATGTCCTTCTCCAGGGACTGGTCTCTCCTGACCACATCTCTGAAGTATGTGAGACAAAGTCTCCGTGTTCTCGTCTCTAAGAAGCCTTATGACTGTCCTTCTTACAAGGCAGTTCCATGTGAGCAGTGACTAATCGCTCCATCTGAGTTCCTCCTGCAGCGCGGAGTTTCTCTCCACGGATTAATAGTCAGCAAAGAGAAAACGTCAATAATCCCTGTTATAGGCTCCAGACTTTTTCAAATCAGAATTACATTAAAATCTAAAAATTCACTAAGTATTGAACGTATAAGTATTTTCTTGGGAGGACTTTTGAATTTCAGCTCTTTCCTAGATGATTGACAAAAACAAACCAACTAAAAGAACAAAAAGTAAGTCAAATTTATTTTACCCTGGTCAAAATATGTGTAATTTATTGAGGTCAACTCAGGTATAAGACCTTCTGGCTCTTGTACCAGGTACCTCTAAGCCTGAGCTCCACAGCGATACGTTTTTGGCAGTAATTCTTGTTTTGGAATTTTCACGATGGTGGGTATGTGGTGTTTCGTAAAGGAAATGGCAGGTGTGGGTCAGCTTTTCTCTAGGAATCTGTTCATCTCTGAGGAAATGGAATGCCATAGCATTAGTTCTAGGAGGGATTGTGTCTAACCACCTCCTATTCCATTTTTGTGTTTAACTCTTCAGAATGACTATCATAATAAAATTCAGTTTCCTTATTCTTTATGGGGATTTTTCATTAAGAATTTGATATCCTCCGGCAATGTTTGGGAATTGGATTTTAAGAATTGTGATTACCAAGATTCCTCAATTGAACTATTGACTCACATGCTTCTTTCTTGCCTCCTCACTTTTCCCGTGACTTTTCAGATTCCATAAATACGCCTTTTTCCCCTTTATAATAACAGTAATAACTCCCTGAGGAGCTTTGGTGGTGCAGTGGGTGAGCAGTTGCCTGCTGACTGAGAGGCTGTTGGGTCAGACTCATCCCGCTGTATACTGCAGGGCAACTATCTGGTGATCCGCCTCTGTCAGCTTGACAACCGCGAGAACTCGATGGGCCACTACGATTCTGAGTTAGAATGGACTTGACAACAGGAACTATTGCCCAGAGAAAAGAGTATTCATCTCTCAGGTTTTCACTGAGTCTACGAGTTGAAAGGAAATGCACACGTATCATAGATGGCTTTGATCTCTCTCTCTCTCCCTCACCCCAGACCAAGCATCTCTGCTTGTGGCTGAACAGGAGCCGCAGCCACTGGGGCCCGAGGAAGCACGTGGGTCGGAAACAGACATCAACTTGGAGATTTCGTTTGCAGAGCAAGCCCTCCTTCAGAAAGAGAGCACAAGAGACCGGACTCAGAAGAGCAAGGGGGATGCGACCCAGTTACTGGTACGTAGCTTCCTGTTTAGATGTCACTAGGCCGTGTCATATTGGTCACCAGCTTTTTATCTTGAAATTTGATAATATGTCAGTGCTGGATAAGTTGATAAGAGAATAATAGCACAAACATCAGTGCACTTTTCACCTAGAACAATCCAACTATTGTTTATGTTGTATGGCTTTCCTATCCTGTATCTATACATGTGTTGTGTTCCTAGGGACAGTTACACTTATTATTATGATGTTACAGCTTAAGAAAGGCATGCAAAGTACTACTTACGACGTTGAATGCTAGTATAATAACTATATTTAATGTACAGACAGGTTGTGATTTCTCCAATTGTCACAATATTGTCTCATATCGCTTCCCCCTTTCCTGGCTCTGACCTGGTATCCACTCAAGGATGATATGTTGCATTGAGTTGCATTGCATTGGCTTCTTTGAATCTTGGTCAGCCCCTCTACTTTTTCTATTCTTTAATATTCTTGACCAGTCCAAACCAGCTTTCTGAATTTGTCTGATTGTTGCCTCCTGACTTGTTGAAGGTTAAACACTCTTGGTCAAAACGACTTCATAGATGACACTTTGGTGCATGGTGTCTGATCGTCCCAGAATTGGTGATGAAGTTTGAGCACTTGGTTAAGATGATGTCTATCAGAGCTCCCTATTAAAAATATACTTTTTTGGGTCTATCTGCAATTAATACTAATCTGTGGGATCATACTAGAAATTTGTATGAAGGCCCTATTTGCCAATAATAACCTGTCACTTGATTTTTTTTCAATTGTGTTTTCTTAATTTTATTCTTCCTACATTTATTGGCTGGCATTCTTCTATAATAACTGCTTTTCATTCTGTCTCTGTTTTTGTTTCTGAATATCGTTACAGGCGAATGAATCATTTATTTTTATTATTAATTTTAGATGTTCATATTTGCCCCCATTCAACAGAAGCTTTGTTATTCTTAAGGAATTCAGTGAACCACGTGTCAAAAGTTCCATTCTTTTACGTCATGCTTTGCTTTGTTGCAAAGGATGTCTGAGACTGCTGTGCATTTTTCTCATCAGACTTGGAGGAATGGTTTGTAATGGAGTTACTATTCCCTTTAGGGGAAAATTATATTTAGAAATCAAGCTCTGTGTATTGTTATTGCTACTGAGTACTATGGACTTAAGATTGGGTAAGCATTGGACTGCTAACCACAAGGTTGCCTGTTCAAACCCACCAGATTCTTCTGAGGGAAAAACACGAGGAAAGCTGCTTCCATAAAGAAAGTTTTGGGAATAAGGTGGCCATGAGTTAGAATCTATTCCATGGTAGTGGAAAATGAGGAATTGCAAACATATAAATATTTTTCTAAATAAATAGTAAAAAAATTAAATTAAGAAAGTATGATGACTATTTATTTAGAAAAATATTTATATGTTTGCAATTCCTCATTTCCCACTACCATGGAATAGATATGTCAGTGGTTTGTTGTATATTTTTGCTTGGTTTGGCTCTGTCTTGTTTTTGTTCATGTTATTATCTCCGCAGGTCTGTCTAAATAAGATAGGCTGGATGAACAATCTGGAGGAGAAAACAATGAGACCGATAGTTCCAGGGGGGGCATGGGATAGGGAGAGGTGGGGGGAAAGGAAGGGGTGTTAACCAACCCAGGGACAAGGGAACAACAAGTGATCCAACTTGGTGGTGAGGTGGGTGTGGGAGGCCTGGTAGGGCATGATCAAGGGTAATGTAACCAAGAGAAATTCCTGAAACCCTGGTGGGGTGACTGAACATGTTAGTGGGACAGGAGGAAAGTCAAGGGAAATAGAGGAAAGAGCTGGGAGGCAAAGGGGATTTATAGAGGTCTAGATAAAGACATGTATGTATGCAAATATATTTATATATGAGGATGGGGAAGTTGATCTATGTGCATACATTTATTGGTTTAGTATTAAGGTAGTGGAAGGACATTGGGCCTCCACTCAAGTACTCCCTCAATGCAAGAATACTTTCTTCTATTAAATTGGCATTATGTGATGCTCACCTTCCCGACACAACTGCTGAAGACAAAGCGGGTAAATAAGCAAATGTGAAGAAAGCAGATGGTGCCCGGCTATCAAGAGATACAGCGTCTGGGGTCTTAAAAGCTTGAAGGTAAACAAGTGGTCATTTAGCCCAGAAGCAACAAAGCCCACATGGAAGAACACACCAGCCTGTGTGATCGTAAGGTGCCGAAGGGATCAATTATCAGGCATCAAAGAACTAAAAGTCATATCATTGTGTGCTCACCTCCATGATATGATCACTGAAGACAAATGGGTGCATAAGCAAATGTGGCGAAGAAAGCTGATGTTGCTCGGCTATCAAAAGTTATAGCGTCTGGGGTCTTAAAGGATTGAAGGCAAACAAGCGGCCATCTAGTTCAAAAGCAACACAGCCCACATGGAAGAAGCACACCAGCCTGTTCGATCATGAGGTGTCAAAGGGAACTGGTAGAAGGCATCATCAGAACAAAAAAATCTTACCATAGTGAATGAGGGGGGTAGTGCAGAGTGAAAACCCAAAGCCCATTAGTAGGCCACTGGAGATCCCCTTGCAGAGAGGTTTTGAGGAGGAGACGAGCCAGTCAGGGTGTGATGTAAAAACGATGAGAAATACAACTTTCCTCTAGTTCCTAAATGCTTTCTCCCACCCCCCGCCCCCTACTATCATGTTCCTAATTCTACCTTGCAAGTCTGGCTAGACCAGAGGATGTACACTGGTACACATAGGAACTGGAAATCCAGGGAGTCCAGGGCAGATGATCCCTTCAGGACCAGTGGTGTGAGGTGATACTGGGAGTATAGAGGGAGAGTAGGTAGGAAAGGGGGAACCTATTACAAGGATCTACACGTGACCTTCTCCTTGGGGGACAGACAGCAGAGAGGTTGGTGAGGGGAGACGTCAGACAGGGCAAGATATGACAAATAATAATTTATAAATTATCAAGGGCTCATGAGGGAGGGGGGAGTGGGGAGAGAGGGGAAAAATGAGGACCTAATGCCGGGGGCTTAAGTGGAGAGGAAATGTTTTGAGAATGATGAGGGCAATGAATGTACAAATGTGCTTTACACATCGATGTATGTATGGATTGTGATAAGAGTTGTATGAGCCCCTAATAAAACGATTAAAAAAAAAGTATGATGAACCTTCAAATACTCCTCACATATCTCAGCATTTATTAAGCCATGACCCACCCTGAAATCTCCATGACCCCAGCCTCTTCCCCATTCTGTTACTTTAAAGCACATTTCTGAATTGTATTTCATCATCCATAAATATTTCAGCAATTATTTCTACAAAGATAAGAAGAGAATTTTAAAAAATATGTGGGCATTATTCTTTTTGTACCTTAAAATACTAAATTTGCATATTCATCTGTGTTCAAATTTTATTGTGTCATGAGTTTTTTTATACAGTTAGTCTGTATCAGGATTCAAACAAGGTCCAAGGATTATAATTAGCTAATTTGTCAAAAACGTTTCTTTAAAAAACAGTGAAATACAAACCCTGAAAATTTTAAACATTGCGACAGTCTTGGTTACCTGGAAAAGCATTCATCCTGAGGAAATGACCGTGAACGAAGTACCCTAATAAAATCACATTTTACACATGGAAAATCTTAGGTAAGAATCGGATTTTCCAGAAGGTGATATGAAGAAGCAATTGGCCAGTTAAGAGTAGCTTCTGCTGCTTTGTAGGTTGATGTTAGAGTGATTTGATCAGTTAGAAAATGTCAAGTTCATCATCACTGCTACGGAGCACTTCTCACACGGCGAGTTTATGAAAGAGGAGAGCGGTCACAGGGCGCTCCCTGACTGATTGACGGCAACACAGGAAAACCAGTGATGTGGTTCATCGATTGTTTGAAATTTTCATTTTGTGTTTCTGAAACAAAACTACTTTTTCAGGAGATAAAAGGGTTTTTCTTTTGCTGAAATGGCACTGCTTTCCTTTCGCCAACAAACTGAGCCATCCAGCCTACTAGCTAAACAAAAATGACAGAGAAGTTCATAAATATTTAAACTTGCTGCTATGAATTAAACATTGGGATAAAAGAACAAACTCCTCTCATTAAGGACAGTGTTGAAATAAATAAATAAGTAAAGCTCATGACATACATTGCTAGGTAAATCAAATGTTTGAACTAATAGTATTTCAGGTTTCTCTAAACATTTACCTTGGCTAATGCTTAAAACAATTGTATTACATGTTTGCTTTATTAGATAAAAACAGTTATTTTAATGAAATCTTTTTTAAAAACATGGCTGATAAATAATATTCCACCTATCAGAAAACAAAGCAATTATCCAAACCATGACAATAGGCACGAGGAAAACAAGATGAATTTGTATGATTTGGAGCTTTAAAGCGCCGTAGTAATCATAGGTAATGAGGTGAAGGAACATCAAGACAATGCCACCAACCCCTGTGTTCACATCCAAAGAAGAGTTTGTCGTCATTTGCTGACCAGAACAGGACAGGGCACCCGCGGTGTGTCAGGCTTGTAGTACAATAGGCCTACAGAGGCGCTAAGACATGGCTTCTTCTGTGATGGACAGATTGAGTCCCTCACAGACTCTTGATGAGCCTAGATTTTTCCCAGTCTGATGTGTAATATACTGGGGAAAATGCATTGGAACAAAGTGGGCACCGAACGTAGGGTTCAGAACATCTGAATGTGCATTCATGTTTGTTGGTACTGCATGGTCATAGTCAAGCCTCACATCTTTATGATACCTCAGTTTCCCTGTCCAGAATGTGAAAATTATTCTTACCCCACTGGGACTTTAGGAGGCTTTAAAGAGCATTGATCAAATATAAATTTTAGCCTTGCTGGTTTGTCTTAACTTGTCATGATATTTAGAATGGAAAGAAAACTGTCAATATCGGCAGTGTGACTTTTCACTATGACAGGATCAAAGTGTTCTCAGTGTGATCTTGAAATTATTTATTTTTAAAAATTATTTTTTAAACATTT